TGTATTTTTGTATATTAGTAGAAAAATCAAACCTCTCTCTACCTTGAGTCCCATTTAAATAAAAACATTCCCCCTCCTCCAACAAGCAGAATACATTTCCCAGCTGATTGATGCTTTTCCATTTATTTCATAATGTATTTTTCCTCAGTGAGGGATTGTTCTACAGAATATCCCCAAATCATGTGCTGCTATTGGCCGATTCGGGCTTAATAGATAGTGTGGTGGGAGGTGGGAAGGGGAAAGCTGTGATTTGTCATGCAGGGCTCCATCCCGGATGCAGAGGCATCAGATGCCAGGCCGCCAAATCTGGAACCACAACTGAGTCCTCCCCCACTTCCTCCTTGTACCATATCTTTCCATCTCTTTGTCTGTCTTTTCCCTCTCCCTTCATCACTAACACACACACAAACACTCACACACGCACACATGGCTCACCTCTTCAGATCTATCACTGACAGCAGTTATTAAACAAAACCTCAGCCCAGGGAATTAATAATCTCAAAGATTTATTTCTTTATCAAATCTTGGGGCCCTAAGGAAGAGTGTTTTGTGCTTGAGAACGACCAAAGCACATTCATCAGCTGAGGGGAAGGGAGGGCTCAGCAATCTTTTAATACTTGTCAAATGAATAGAGAGAAAAAGAGAGGGGTTTTAGGAAGCATTTGTCAGCACAAAGAGGTCACAAACCTATTTGCAGAAAGGTTCATGGTCCACGGAATGGCATGGGTATGAGGTTGGGGATGAAGGTGGCAATGGCACAGATGTTAAAAAAGGACCAGAAGTGTCACTGCGGACACGTCCATCTGAGAGTTGGATCAGTTTAGTGCCTTTGCAATCAGCAGTGAATGATCTGTGGACTGCGTGAAGGCTGAGAGTGTCAGGAAAGACAAGAGCTGCAGATGTGAGTGGCCAGATACTTAACCACATCATGAGTGTGCTGCTCTTAGAGCTCAGCCCTGAGCTTGCACTTATTTTGGCAGTAGCTGTCATCCCTCTGCATGCAGTCACATGTGAAGGACATGAAGTTTGGGCCGGAAATAGCCTCTCTTTGTCCCTCTTGACCTTATTTCCTAAGACACTTGTGACTTGTCACTCCTATGAGACAGGAGGGAAGAGAAGTCAAGAGGCTTGCAAGAGAATGAAAATCAATGCATCCAGGAAAGACACAGGGCAGCCTTGCTCCAGTATTATCAGTGCCACACATTTCAGTTGTCAATTTGAGCAAAGCCGTGATCATCATCACAAACAAAGGGCATCTTCATCTCGTGTCTGCATTTCCTGTTCCAATTGTCTGATTATTGTGTAAAATGTGCTGCCCTGGAAGTTTCCTCCCTGGTGGCTAGGCTGCAATTACAAATCAGAGCCACTTGTTCATTGTTCCTGCCATTACTATCACATTGAGCATCAGCTAAGGTGAATGTCTGAGGGGTTTGCAGCCTGCATGTGTGAGGAAATCCATGCCCCACAGATAATTCTTTGCTGAGGAGGGATAGAAACTCGTGATGAATGCTCCAGCCTTAGATACATATGTCTTTACAGTTCCTGGAAGTCACAGCCAAATAGAGCCTCCAAGACCTTCAGCAGCAACCTTGAGAACATACTTCTGTGTTGGCTTTATCCCACCCCACTCCTTTATTCTTGGTTCTTGTAATTATATCCCAAATAAACCATCTTCATCCAAGTTCTTGCTTTTGGCTTTGCGTTCAGGTGAAAATAATTTCAGAAGGCAGCTGTTGAGCACACACAAGAACATCTGTACATGTGACCAACTTGCCTTTTCCAGTGCTTTCTTTCTCAAACCTGAGATCCAGGCTGGCACTGTTGACTATTAGCTGGTCACCTCCATCTGTGGCTTC